TTAAAAAAATTTTGTTCACTTATTTGACAGAGAGAGATAGCGAGAGAGGGAACACAAGCAGAGGGAGTGGGAGAGGGACAAGCAGATTCCCCGCTAAGCAGAGAACCCGGTGCAGGGCTCGATCCCAGGACAATGGGATCATGACCAGAGCTGGAGGCAGATGCTTAATGACTTGACTCACCCAGGCACCCCTAAAAGAAGGTGATGCTCTCAAGAAGATGCTCCTCCTAAGGTTACTCTTACTCGTTTGAATTCTCTTCCAGTATAAAGAGCATAAATGGGTTACAGTTGCTGTCTTTTTGTTTTTGATATGTAGTTAAAACAAAGATTTGGCCTGTAGATGTATGTTTACCAAGTTAACTCCTTTGATAGCCAAAGCATTTTGACTTTATTACTTTGCTAATGAAACTATGAGATTTGGGATTTTTGTTCAGCTCAAGCACTAGAGTAAAAGGATTATATCTGAAAACCTTGCTTTCTAAATAGAATTCAAATAATTCTAATATTCTTTCCACATTAGGTGATGTGCTTTTACAGAAAACATACCTATAAATTTGTAGGATACAACCTCTAAAACTGAGCCTTAGGTTTTGTCTGTTTGCTGATAAGGAATGACCAAATCAAATATTCTGGAGCTTTCCTGAACTCTTTAGCTATAAACTTAAAGTTTATTAATCATAAAAGTCATAATTTAGCCATGCATGGCAACAAACCATCCAATGATTCAATAGGGCATCTTGCATTTCTTAGGCTACTGTAATTAGATAACCAATGTGTAATTAAGTAAAAATGAAAGCTGACCTTTCTCCTTGAGATAATATAATGCTAACCATATGAAGAACAAAGGATTTATGATTCAAATGAGCCTAAATACAATTTAAGGGAATAGGACGATGCTTCTTCTTGGGAACTATCATCATTTCACTTTGTCAGCACAGATTTAACAAAATATCCGATGTATTGCAACACAGGAGTTTCAATTGTGCCTTCATATAAAATTCCAATGTTAACATGATGTTATGCAGAGTAGATATTTGGTGCAATCCATCATCTATTAAAATTCTGTCAGTGTGATGGGGTATTTCAAAGTACAGTACAGAAGCCTGCACTGAGAAGTTGCAATGAGTAACTGATCGCACTGACAGTCAGCATTTTTACTTCCTCACAGCACAAAGTGAGTCTAAAGTCGTGAGCTTTCTCTCCCCTGTGTCTGTTCAGGGAACAATGACATAGTGTCAACAGAAATGTTCTTGCTGTCCTAAGTGGGGTCTGACAACTTTCCAGGGGACGCAATAAGGTCCCAGAGTCCACTAACTGACTGAGAACTGTTTTCTTGCACAGATACCAGGATGATAGTTATAATGCAGTCAGGAAGGTTTTATCCCCTCTCCCTTAAGAGTAAAAGCCCCTCAGGGTGCTTGGGTGGCTCAGTCAGTTAAGTGTAGGACTCTTGATTTCAGTTCAGGTCATGATCTCAGGGTCGTGAGATGGACTGTCATATGGGGCTCAGCACTGGGTGTGTAGCCTGCTTAAGATTCTCTCTCTTTCTCCCTCTCCCTCTGCCCCTCCCCTCCTTCTCTCCTTCTCAAAAGAAAGAAAGAAAGAAAGAAAGAAAGAAAGAAAGAAAGAAAGAAAGAAAGAAAGAAAGAGTAAGGGCTCTCGGAAACTTTTTCTAAATCTACAAGAAAGTATAATACAACACAACTTAGAAAATTAAGTCTCTAAAGAAACAAACTTAAATGGTACATGCTAACTTTATGCTTATTCTGTCTGTTCTCTTGTCCCTTGCTTACTTCTTTTCCTTCTTCGCATCATTTCATTTCTTGCTAATCATTACCTGTCTCCTCCCCCAACCCCCATTTCAACCATTCATCTATCCTGGTAAAAACTAGAGGTGCAGTGTTCTAATTTAACACCTTCTGGAAGTCTCTTTGGATACTAGCTTAGTTGATACCTTGGAGTCCTTTGGGTCAAGCCTGAAGGGCTTCTGACTCCAGTGCAGGGGTCAGTGTAAATTCACAGTGATGGGGGAGAAACATATTTATACTTGGAGCTTATACATGAGATTTTCACAAAATGGTGGCAAAGAAAACATGAGAGAGGAGAACAGGTATAAGCAAATCAGAATTATGGGCAATGTCTTTGAGATATGTAGATAGTGATACCTTGAATTTATTTGTAAAGTAGGTTCTAGTTACTAACACAAAGGAGGTACCCAATAGGCCATTTTTTCCTGGCTTAGGTATTGAATGGTTTAGTAAGTAAATGGAAAATGTACCAATCTAAGCAATTTGTCTTATTTATAGCCATAAGGATGTCTCCAAAAAATCATTAGCAAAGTAAGTTAAATAAATAATATGAATGTGGTAGAAACAGGTGATTATTGCTTATTCTCAACTTTCTTCTATACCAACTCTCATTTTCTGTAATTGGGCTAATCTCAAGTATAATGTTCAGTGTACTCATATAACTAAATAATAATAATAGTAATTTGCTGAGTGCTTGCTATTTGCCAGGCTCAATTTTAGGAGCTTTAATACCTTCTTTCCTTTAATGAGTAAAGTGCATAATTATTTAGGCATCAGTCAGCCTACATTACAGAGGAGGAAACTGTGACTCAGAAAGTTTAATTGCCCAGAGTTCCATAACAGAGAAAGGTTTCCTATCTCAAAGAGCCTAACCAACTACTCAGGCTATTAATCATCACGTTATTCATTCATTCTTCTCAGACCCAGGTAGTTGTTTTATCTGCTTTACATTGCTTAAGTATTTTTGTATTTTATCATTTATTATTTATTTTGTATTTATTAATCATACAGTGATTACTTTAACTCCCCTTTTGGTTATTTTTGCAATATAGACAACTAGTGAGACTGTTACAGGGAAAAGATTGATGGCACAAACTCTGTTTCCATGACACTGTTTAGCCAATTCCTCCATGTTAAAGACAACAAAGTGGTGGGTGGCCCAGGCACTCCTTTTTCCAGGAATCTGCCCCAGCCACAAATATTATATTTTAAGCCCAGTAACCTAGACTCAAACATGATGCACTGTCTAGTCACGGGAAGTGATAAGATATCAGTTAGCAGTAGCCATAGCAAGGAATATCCGAGGTGATAAATTCACACACACACACACACACACACACACAGCTATTGCTGGAAGAACATGTATGAGAAATAATACACCCAAAAATGGGGCTGAAGCCATGCTGGGATGGAGAACAAGAGGAAGAAAATTTTGCTAATGTCTTGAGTGACAGCTGAATTAAAGACACACACAAACATCTTCCTTTCTGATCACAGTTCTAGAAATACTGGTAGTATCTTACATATTTTGACATCTGGGAGAATATTTGGATTTTGACAGATGTACATTCCCTTTGGCCACAATGAGGTGATCCATCATCTCAGGTTTGAGGACTAAGTTAGTATTCGTGCTCTGTAGATGAAGATACTATTTTTTTATAAGGTAGTTGCTTCCTTCTAGAAAGTCTCCATTTTAGAACTTGGCCGAAATTCCCTTTCCCTGTGTTGGCTCAGACTGTGCTATATATTAGTCTGTTAGTCTGGAAGTGTATATTGTATTTTATCTTGTGACTTGGATATGAAAGGGTAACCTGGATTCATTGTATGTTGGTATGATTTACAAAACTTAGACCAGATGGACTCAGGAAGCCCCCAAGGTGTGTAAATAAGAATAGAGGAATTTGAAAAATATGGTCTAAAGTTCTGCTGTACTAAGCAATATATATTTTATTTTTTAATTAAAAAACAAACTCAACACATTAAGAGCAATGCAGAATGTTCCTTATTTTTTTAAAAAAATGGACAAAGCTCAAATATGAAAAGGAGGTGCTATGATCCTTTGACTCCAAGAAATGGATGTCTCTGAATTTAGTTCCGTGGTCTTTAATGTGTGCTACTTTATTGATATTAAGCTTTTAAATGGGTTAAAATGTAGTATTGCTTTTTCTTTGTACAACTAATACATTCCATATTAAGAAGGAAAATATCAATAATGATGTATAGCATGTCATACTTTAAAAACTATTTTCACATATGCTCTCAATCCTTCCAATAATCCCATTAATATAGTGACAGAAAAGGAAACAAAGGCACAGATGAAAGCATGTCCAGTAGAGTATGCCACAGACCTTGTCACATGACCTTCTGTCTAGTGCTCTACCTCCTACTTCCCATTTTCATAAATATATTGCTATTGAAATCACTCTATCTTATCCTTCTACAGAGCTAGAAAACCTGGAAGACTTAGACAAAGATAAATGGAATAATTAGCCTTCAGTCTAGATTCTAATGAAATATGTAATATTTTTTCTTGGGATTTATATAATATCATGCCACAAAATGGGAAATATAGCAAGTAGAAAATAGAGTTTGAATATTTTTAGAAGAGATTTTTCCACTTAAGAAGAAGAGAATGGCTCTAATTAGTTAACCTAAAAAAAGTATCTAGCAACCTTGCTATATATACATATATATCTTCATCTATTTGTATGCAACTATCTTCATGTTTCAAATACATTGCTTTGAGTCAATGCTTGGCCATAATACTGAAAATTACACCCAGAGCACATCAAACTGCATCCAAAGAGAACAAAGCATAACAGGAGAAGTAAAACAGGAAGACTTTCCCCCTATAAACGGATTTAATTGTCCAGAGTTCAGAATTCCTGCACGAAGTAGAAATTTCCCATTCATAACAAATGGTAGACATCAGCTTAGGAGGTTGACTGCTACTTCCTCCAAGGTTTGTTCTCTCTCTGTCTCATTTCTCTTCTCTCTCTCTTTCTAATTCTGCCATCTATCTATTGTACATGCTTTTGTAGAATTTCAGGAACAGCTTTTCATCTGGAAAATATGGCTGCCTGAAAGAGGTATGGAATATAACAAAAGCTTTACCCCAAAGCTTCTATGCATTACAAAAGCTTGCACTTGGATAATAGAAATATTTAGCCTCAGGTGACTGAGAACACTTACTGTTGGTTGCATAACGTATGGCGGATGAGGCATCCATGAAGTACTCTGGACCTATGCATCAAACAGCATTTATTAGCACAAAGCAATCACAGAGAGAACTTGGTTCTTGCGTTCAGTGGAGTCACACTAGGTCATAAGAAAGTGGAGTCCATCTGACTGTACAGCTAATTAGTGCTCAGAACTAAGGATAGAAAGGAAGTTCTCAGACCTGATTAATTTGGTCCCAAAACATGGTAAAATGTAAAGCAAATTCCTATATCACCAGTGCTGGCTGCAGTGCCCGCATGGACCCGGGTGGGCCTTGGAGCATAATCTGAGCTTGGTGTCAGAGGCTAGAGTCTTAGGAAGCCTCAGGGACCTCCTACTTAGAGGTCAACTCCCAGGGATAGATGTAAGTCATAAAGAGTTGACAGCTGAGACTTCCTCTTTTTCTGTCATTCGTTCTAATTTCAAATTCTCAAGTGATCCCATCTTGGAAATAAGTCCAAGTGGTAAAAGTTGGGGAAGAATTAAAGAGATCAGTCAGAAATTCGGGGGGAGTGATTTGGGTTAAACCCAAGTTAGGCAAGCTTGTGATTTTTTTTTTTTCTTTCATGGTAATTGGTATGGCAAATAAAAATGAGAATTTGAGCCAACCAAATGTTCAGAAATGTGCCTTGTCAGCCAAATGAGAAAGTCAGCTTGTAAGGGCTGATTGTCACTTAGAGAACCCTGATCACTTTATTTTCAATACGCTCACACTAACAAAATCGCCAATGCACTTTAGGTTAAAAAAAAAAGGAAAAAGAAAAAAGAAAGTGGTGAAAGGCGAGAATCAACAACAGAGGAAATTGCTCTGATTCTTTTTTGGAGAAAAAGGAGCTAGAGTTAAGTTCCACTTATGAGCCCTCCCAAGTGAAATCACTTTTCTGTGGATATGTTATTCATGTCACCAAAGTTCTCTACACTGGGGCTCACTGGGTGGTCTTGGCCGAAACACAGGCCAAGTTTTTTTTTTTTTTTTTAAATGGGCAAAAAAAAAAAAAAAAAAAAACACACACACACACAAAAAAACCCCACAAAAACACACATTACAATCAGGCAGGCCTGCGGGAAGAACAAAAACGGAACAGCACCTGCACGTAGCCTCATGGGTCCCAAAAAAAGGCAATTAAGAAATCATCCACTCTGAGACCCTCAAATGCAATTCCCATGAAAGTCTATTCTGTTTATCCACCAACATGTATCAAGAATCTAAGTGCAGAAAAAGAATGAAAATGATCTGCTACAGGGGGGATCAGTTAGGAAAAAATGTATATAGTCTCAAGTTTGATGCTTTGACAGTTGGGACATCCTGGAATGAAGTATGCAATGGTTGAATAAGGTGAAACTTCACTGAATTAGTAGCAGTCAGTGACATTACAGTTTTACCCATCGTAAAACATCCACCCCCACCATCTGCAAAATACAGAGAAACACATGCAAGCACGCACGTACACTCTCTCACTCTTTCTCTCTCCAAAGTTTTGAAAAGTGACACGAGGAATCCTCTATATGTAGCATCTACAGGCACTGTCTAATTAGAATTAGAAGAATTGTCTGAAGAACAATATGAGGTAAAGAGAAGCAGGGAGTAATAGCACATTCGATAACTCAGAGGAATAAGACGAGGAGTATTTTTTTAGGGAGAAGTATGACTACGTTAAATCCACCTGTGTACTTAGAATTAACTGGCTACAACATCTGCTTTAGGACACACACTGAATCTTGGCTTTTTTGTTTTGTTTTGTTTTGTTTTTCAACATGTGGAACCCGTGAGGTCTTTTCTGACCTCTTCGGGACTGAGAATGACGTAAAAGCAGGAAGTAGGAATAATGTTTTACCACTTTGAGAGTCCTCCCTAATTCTTGGGGAAAATTATTTAATATCTGTCCATGTAGCTTTGCAGAGACACACAGGACAACTGTGACAAAATGAGATGACAACGATAAAATATCTTGGAGTGAGTGAGGGGAATGCCAGATGTGTGCTTGTAGAGAAGACACAGTAGGGAACGTGACAATCCAAATCACCGACAACCAACAAAGTAAATTCTCAGTGGCAAGGAGGCTGCACTAATGTTGGCTGGAAAGGAGCATAATCATAAAAACTCAGCAGGAAGAATGAAGAGCACGGTGGACTTTCTTATTCCGTGAAATAGATGCAAACGAGCCCTTCAAAGTGTGGGCTAGAACTTGAGAATTATTTAATTAAGATGTGACTAATGTGTTTGAGGACAATTTAAAAAAAAAAAGTTCTACTGTGTCCCTTTTGCCTTGATATCATCTATTATTGGCCAGAAAGACCTCTCCTTGGGTGCAGGTAAATCGGACATACCTGGTATGTGGAGACAGGGGAAGCAGCAATGAATGGCGTGATAGATGTCTGTGGAATCATGCGGTTGGTTGCAATACTGTACGGTGAAGAATAAAATCTGCAAACAGAAAACAAAAAAAGAAGATTCATGAAGCTGCTGCTTGCCTCACTTCGATTCAAATGCTACCAAGCACCTCTGGGAAAGACAGAGTTCCACCCTCGTGTTTTTCCACCAACTGTGAACAGGAGCGTCCAGGAGATTTATAGCATTTGATGCCACTAAGAGAAATAAATCGTTCTGAACAAAATGACAACTTTGAGTCATCTTATAAAATTGGCTGCACAAAATCTCTTATGTCGGGATGAGTGTAATAGTATGTTTAACCAACAGGGGGAGAAAAGCCATGGGCATTAGTTTTTGTCGTTTTTCTCTTTCTTTTCTTTCTTTCTTTCTTTCTTTCTTTCTTTCTTTCTTTCTTTCTTTCTTAATGCAATGTTAAAGCTCTTTGAGGGAAAGGCAAAATGATAGCAACAAGCTTTATAAAGGTGGCCGATGTTATGTGTCCACAAATTGCATTTGTCTCGTCATTCAAGAGAATAGGGTCAGCTCCTAGAGAGTTCTATATAATTTGCGCTAGGAAGAAGTCCATGGACTCATGTGGAAACTAAGCTAAATATTTTCTCCCTGAAAAGAGAAGAAAGTAGGCAATTTGTGATTTGTGTCCAGCTGAGGATAGGAATATTTTCTAGATACAATCAGGGAGATATTAGAGCTCTGTGATATACTCCTGTAGACTCTGAAAAGCACTGAGATTTTGAGTCTTTCAGGGCCCTTCATCGAACAATTATAAAATGATAGTGGGCAAGATCAGAGTTTCACAAATCATGTCTTTCTACAGATCTTTCAAAGGGCAGCTTCTTGGTACTTAAATCAGTGACATAGCCATCTCTGCTCACACTTTACCTTATAGAGTTTACACACTACCTAACGCTCAAATTTGTCAGCAGATTTTCAAATCATGTTTCTTCCTTCCTGTCTCACTGGTAAGTGAAAGGCCAGAGTGGCCAGCCACAGAATGGAAAAAAAAAAACAAACAAGATGCTTTTGATGGATTACTTCACTGTTGTGAGGATAGATTAGGAAAATGGGTTTCAGTGGCAACAAAATCATTATTTCACTTTGCTGTACTCTTAGCAAAAATCAACTGCTACTTTTGATTTTTTTTTTTTAATAGCATCACTGAGGTTGGAATTTCAGGGCCAAAAACTTCATCCCTCAGAGGTCACTGATATTTTGAATAGAGACTCTCATGGATTACCCTTCTAAAGAAGCATTCTACAAGACTCCCCCTGAATGTAGGAGTTCTAGATTTCAAGGTTTCCAGGATTTAATGAGGAAATTCTTTAACCTTAGAGTCTATAAAAGCCTTCAAGCAAGGACTGGGAGACTATAGTCTTAAATTTACTTTATCTAGCTCTCAACAAGGATTATAAGGTCACACTCTTGGTTAAAAAAAAAAAAAAAAACAAAAACTGCAGCTGCAAAAGTTGCTCTGTTACACATTACATCCTTACTATCCATACCCATCAGACCTCTAAGTTTATAGTTGTGCAATTAAAAAAAAATGATACTGACTGCATACAAATCACAATGGCAAAAGAAAGAAAAAGAAAGAAAGAAAGGGAAAGAAAAGAGATAGTCCTAGTGTTGCCAAGGATTCAGAAAATGTGGGCTTCTCATTTGTTGCTGGTGGAAATTCAGAACGGTATAGTCATTTTGGAAAACAGGTTGCCAGTTCCTTATGAAGTTAAACACACACATACCGTACAACTCAACAATCCTAGTGGTAGATATGAACTCAAGATAAATGAAGAAACCTTATGTTTACACAAAACCTTAAAGCAAATGTTTATAGCAGCCTTATTTATTGGACTTGCCAAAATGGGGAAACAAGCCAAGCATCCTTCAACTAAATTGATAAACAAACTGTGGTACCTCCGTTCAGTAGAACACTACTACGCCATAAGGAAAGAACTACTGATACATTCAACATGATGAAACTTAAGTGAATTACACTAAATGAAGTAAGTCAGGACCAAAAGACTCTATATTTCATAATTCCACTTATATCACAACATGAAAAATGCAAAACTATAAAGAAAGAAACTATACAGATCAGTGGAAGTCAAAGGCTGAGCTTGGGGGATGGAGCCAACTAAAGACACATGAGGGAATTTTGGCAAGTGATGTAACTCTTCTGTCTTGATTATCTGGTGGTTCTATGACTGTGTACTTGTCAGAACTCATAGACTTGTACACTATAAAGAATGAATATATGCTCTATGTAATTTCTACCTAATAAACCTGACTTCCAAACAAAATCAATTACTGTGTAAGCGAACATCCATCCTTTCACTTAAAATATATATATGTATATATGTATATATATACATATATACATATATATATATGTATAGATCATTTACTATTTGTACCAAAGATAGGTAAGATAAGACTCTAAAACATTATGTAGACTCTCTGCTGAGCCACTTAAATTGTATCTTATCTGTACACTAATCAGCCTAAAATCTCCCAATGGCTCTTCATCGAAATGAAAACAAAATTTGCATTTCTGGTATTGGTTAGCACAAACAGGCTACTGCCTACCTCTCTAGTATTTTCTCCTACCCTTCTAAATCAGCCAGCTAGGTTCCAGCCACACTTACCTTCTTCCGTCACATGATTCTGTCATTCTCACTTCTGTCTTGTGCCACTAAACTTATAATTCTCTCTACCTGAAATGCTTATTTCCACAAATCTCCCTAAGGCTACCTCTTTCTCATTATTGGTCTCACATCTCCTTTCTTCAGAGAGGTCTGTAGCTAAAGTAGCAACCACTATCTCCACCACCTTTGCTCTCTATTCCTCTCCTGTGATTTTTTTTTCCCCATCACTCTTATCACCATCTAAAGTGGTGATTTTTAAAAATTTCTTTATGTATGTTATAGACTGAATGTTCATGTTCCTCCAAAATGCACATGTTGAAGTCCTTTCAATGTGTCTATATTTGGAGATGGAACCTCTCTGGAAGAAACTGATGAGGTCAACAGGGTGGGGCCCTGATCTGATGGGATTAGTGTCCATATAAGAAGGGACACTAGAGACCTTGCTCTCTGAAAGGCTGGGTGAGGACATAGTGAGAAGGCAATCATCTACCAGCCAGGAAGAGATCTTCACCAGAAATGAGTTAGCCAGTCCTTGATCTTAAACTTTGAGCCTCCAGAACTGTGAGAAACATAATTTTTATTGTTTAAAACCACCTAAAAAATGCTATTTGGGGGACGCCTGGGTGGCTCAGTTGGTTAAGCAGCTGCCTTCAGTTCAGATCATGATCCCAGAGTCCTGGGATCGAGTCCCACATCGGGCTCCTTGCTCGTCAGGGAGCCTGCTTCTCCCTCTGCCTCTGCCTGCCATTCTGTCTGCCTGTGCTCGCTCTCTCTTCCTCTCTCTCTCTGACAAATAAATAAATAAAATCTTTTAAAAAATGCTATTTTGTTGTGGTGGTGGAGCTGACTAATACAAGATATTACTGACTACGTTTTCTATCTAGATGCCAGTTTTGACAAAGTTGAGGACACACTGTCCTCGTTGCCTAAAATAGAGCCTAGGACATAATAAATACTTAAGAACCATAGATCGAATGGATGAATGAATGCAAAGAAGCTTAAGGAAATAAGTAGTGATTTCAGTATAGGATGGTCAATGCCAAGATGACAGGAGCATAGAAGACGGGTTCCTGAACCAGTAGAAAGCAGATGGGTGACAACCCAGAGAGGCCAACATTACATGTTAGTAAATGTTCAGTGGAAGCTTAATCGATACTTGCTTTCTAAGCAGGCGAAAGTATTAGCAACTAGGGAAGAGTCCTTTTCTACAAAAATCATGATTTGCACTTAAAAATCCCCTTTAGATCTTAGCCTTGACAGATCTTATTTATGAAGAAGTGAACAAGAAGACTTGGAGCTCATAATGACCCCATTCCACCCACGTCTATTCCATAATCACCCCACAGTCTTTCTTATTCACCATGCTCTGGTTTAACTTCTGTTAGAGAAATCCAGTTTCAGCCTCTCCCACAAATGGAGTGAATCATGACTCTCACTTGAACATGGCTGGTTTATTTTGTAAAACTGAAGTATTAAAAGTATTAAAATTATTAGCAACTGAAGTATTAAAAGTGAAGGCAATGAGGATTGGATTGACAGGCAGAGTTTACAGGGAATGTTATGGGGAAAACAGGGAGAAGAAACATAAAGAAACCAGCCAACTAAACTGATACTTACAAAGGGAGCCCTTGGGGGAACATTTATTGTATTTTTAAAATTATTTATTTATTTAAAAATTTTTAAAAGATTTTTTATTTACTTATTCACCAGACAGAGATCACAAGTAGGCAGAGAGGCAGGCAGAGAGTGGGGCGGGGAAACAGTCTCCCTGCTGAGCAGAGAGCCTGATGTGGGGCTCGATCCCAGGACCCTGGGATCATGACCTGAGCCGAAGGCAGAGGCTTTAACCCACTGAGCCACCCAGGCGCCCCTGCATTTTTTTTTTTTATTTGCTCTAATCCTATACAGCACACAAGAATGATATTTCTTCTTTGCCAGCAAGTTCCAAAACTGCCACTCAAGTCAGAGAGTTATTTAGAATGGAAAATATACTGGGAAGAAAAGACTCTTCTAATTCTCATATTCTGAAATAAGCTCTTCCCAAGTTCAAACATAAACTGGATGAATTTACAGGAAACCCTCCTTAAACCATGTAAAGAAAAATTGCTATTGCGTCGCAGACTTAGAGGTACTGTATCTAAAGAAAATGTATCAGGCCAGGCTCTATAAGAGAGAACTGTAGAATGAGTTTCCCAATCTTTCCACTTCTTCTCAGTCCCTGCCATGTTTAAAAATACTCCCACATGGCCATGATGTTAAAAAAAAAAAAAAGGAGAGACCATCCAAATGGATGCTTTAGGCATAGGCATTATTGGGGAACAGGAAAGATAAAATTGAAACATTTTAGCCATAATAACAAAGCTAAGGTAATTCTAAATATGTGACTTTATG